ATCAATGATTCTCTCTCTCATCATTGATGTTTCTATCTCTCTCTCCCTCTCCCTTCCTCTCTGAAATCAATAAAATAAATAAATAAACAAATAAATAAATAATTTTTTTAAAAAGAGCCAGAGGGGAAAAAATATTTTAGAATATAATAGAAGTAATCCTGTTATTTGCAGATTCTTAATATTTCCTACAACTTTTGTGATATTATACTATGCTAGTACAGTTTTGATAATATTGTTATATTTAAAGTATTTTTTCTTGAAATATTAATGTTCATTGCATGTAAATGGCTAATTATTTTGTATCTACAAAAAAAAACACCTATAAAAGAAGGGAAAGGGGAAACATAGTAAAGAAACCACCAGCAGCATCTGCCACAGTTTGGGGAAAAGTTTAGAAATGAAGAGGTATACTTTAAAATGATAGCATTTGCTCATGTTGAATGATTTTGCTCTCCTCAAATCTAAAGTTATCTTCATCAGTGCTTAACTAGAAAATGCAATATAATCTCATGGTGTTCAACATACTATGACTGGAAACCCATTTTAAAATACCATTCACTGAAAGATACATAACTGCTGTAGGCTCAGAGATTCTTTAGGTGTCTAAACACACTGTATGCACATGGACACAAAATCACAGAATTTGCCTTACAAGGAGTCCATCTATGGAATAGGTTTACAACTATAAACCTACTTTTGCCCTACCCTGGAGAAGAGATTATAACTCTTGAACCATTCAAAGGATCTATTATTGTATTTTATTGTATGCAAAAGTATTTTAAAATGCTTTAAATACTTTGCAAATGAAAGACTCTTATGTGCTTTAAAATCTGTGGCTCTGAGCATCACTGCTATAAGGTCTCAGTGGCTTATCACTTACAAATACCAAGGCACCATGTTTTATTTAGGACAGATCTGGTGCATTAGATTATCCCATCACCTAACAGTGCATTTCTAAATTGCAAGGGACTTTTCTGGGCAATGTGAACAAAATAATTACTTGGGAAACTTGTGTTACAGGATTCCAGGACAGGAGGAATAAGGAAAAGTGAGACAGGAAAATTAGGACAAGGACAAACAGTGTAAGTAATTTGCAGTTGGTCTGCAAATAACAAATCACTATCTTCCCCAGCCAAGGACACTCCAGAGCAAATAGTTAAAGACCTCCCTAATGAGAGAATGCAGAAAGGGAGGGGGAAAAGGAAAAAAGGGCACTTTTACTCCCTAAGCAGAAAAGCCAGCAGTCTCTGACTCAGCAAGATCAAGTTGCCAGGATTCTGGGAAGACCACAAGAAGAAAACCTTGAGACTCAATCTGTACCAAGATACTCAGCAAAATAATCTTTTGAAACCTATATACAGGAGGAGGATATATTACTCCCCAAACTTGCCTAAACATTTGCTTTTCTGGATTAACTGTAAAAGCCCATCTCTGCTCCAAGCAGGATGAAATAGACCTGCTTGCTCTGCTTTGCCTTTTCAATAAAGGTGCATGCTTTAATAAATTGGCTATTCACAAGATAGTCAAGGTCCTTCTCGTATAAATTCATTTACTAATACATGAGAAGATAAGGATTGAGGTTGGGGACAGCCCTCTCCCACTAGCTCAAGGAGCTGTCCTGTCCAGTAATACCTCTCTGGTGTTGGTGAGAGGAGCCTATAACACTTTTTTCAATATTTCATTGTGATATGATAGGAACAACACTTGGAGGTCATTTACTAGTATAAAGGATAAGCAAAAGTAGGTTTACAGTTATATGAAAAATATAATAATACAAGAATAAACTATTTTGAGTACTCACAACTATAAATCTACTTTTGTCAACCCATGAATGACAGAGTTCTGTTATTGGAGACACAGCTGGGAATCTAGGAGTTACGGCCTCTGAGCACTCAACGTGCAGAAATCCATGCACTTTCCTCCCAGGAGCTTCCCAGGCCTTCGCTTAGAACTAATTTTAGACACAATTCTTAAAAGGTTGGAAGAGTGGATATCTAAAATCTTGGTTCATAACTCGAAGTACAAATTAGAGAGATTAAGGGAGGGGGAAATCAGAGAGATTCTAGAAAAGTAAAGAGCAACCTGCAAGCTCCAGGCCACATTCAGCCTACGAAGCACATTATAATAATTACAACTTCCATTTGATGCTTACCTTATGTCATGCACTGGACTATGCATTTTGTAATCTATTATCTTAGTCGCAATATCTCTTTGACATAGACATTCTATCTTCATCTTACAAACAAAGAAACTCTGGCACAGGGGTTAAGTAACTTGCCTAAAGTCACATTGAGTATGTGATGTATTGTTTGAACCCAAGTTTGTATAAACAGGCCCCTTTCTGAATAATTAGCAGCTGTTATTATGGTCTAATTTTAATTTCAGCTTTTTATACATACGGAAAAGAATCATGATGCAAAATTACTCAGAGTAAAAAGCTTGTGTCATTCTTGACCTTGATAAAACAATGAATAGATAAGCTGGATCAGGAAGTTTGTATATACAGAAAAAATACTAACTTAACTGCCACAAGTGTAAATCGTGTGAATTTTCTCTTTATTAAGTCAGGGTTTCTCAACAAAAGCAACATTGATATTTTGGAACAGATAATTCTTTGTAGTGAGAGGCTGTCCTGTGCAAGGCAGGATATTTAGCAGTGTTCCTAGCCTCTATCCCAGTGGTTCTCAACCTGTGGGTCGCTAACCCTTTGGGGGTCAAACGACCCTTTCACAGGGGTCACTTAAGACCATCGGAAAACACATATATAATTACATGTTGTTTTTGTGATTAATCACTATGCTTTAATTATGTTCAATTTGTAACAATGAAAATACATCATGCATATCAGATATTTACTTTATTTATTTACATAACAGTAGCAAAGTTACAGTTATGAAGTAGCAATGAAAATAATTTTATGGTTGGGGGTCACCACAACATGAGGAACTGTATTAAAGGGTCGCGGCATTAGGAAGGTTGAGAACCACTGCTCTATCCACTAGCTGCCAATAGTAACTCACTCCCCAGTTGTAACAATCAAAAATGCCTCCAGATACTGCCAAATGTCCCCTGCTGGGCAAAATGCCCTTAGTTAAGAATCACTGGTTAAGTAAAAGAGCTAACGTAATAATGAAGTCTACTTTAACTTTCTAGAATCATAAAAAGATAGACCTGGAAGAGCCTTTAGTTAGTTCCTTATATGAAAGGTGAGGAGACTGAGATATGATGAGATCAGGCCCTCACCTAAATTGCTAAGCTACTCAGGGGAAGAGTTGAGTGGGAAAGCCAGACATTTCCTTATTTTAAAGCTGATAATGTAGGCATTGACAGATGTCTGGGACATTTCCCATAAATTGGATTCAATGCTGTGGTTATAGTACCCAGAGTGATCCTTTTAAAGCATATTTCAGGTATTTCTCACCTGCTCCTTTCATCCTTAGAATGGAATCCAAAGTCCTAGCCATAGCCCAAAAGATCCTACATAACTTGGCTTCTGGCTACCTCTCCAGACTCATTTCCTAACACTCCCTTCACCCTGATCTTGTCACAATGATTTTCTTGGCATTCCTTTGAACACTCCCAAGCATGGCTCCTATCTTTGCATTCCAGGAATGTTGTTTTCCTAGACATTTCCATGACTTGTTTCTTCACTTCTTTCAGGCATCTGCACAAATTTTACTTTAACAGGTAGGTTCTATCTGTCTAAAATTACACTTCTCCTCAACCTTTTCACTCTTTATCTAGCCTGATTTACTTATCTTTGTTACAATTTTCAACACTTAGACATATTTTGTATTGTTTATTCTTAGTCTTTTTCTCCTTTTGAATGCAAAGTACATGCAAAAGTAACTGAAATACTGCTTGGAACATAGTAGACACATAATAAATATTAATTCAGTGAATGAATCACAGTCATCCCAGAAAAACACCTCATACCCCTTAAGTAATCACCCTTCATTTACCCTTGGCAACCACTAATATGATCTCTGTCTCAATAAATTTGCCTATTCTGAATATCCTATATAATAAAAGGCTAATATGCAAATTGACTGAATGGCAGAACGGCCGTTCACTATGATGCGCACCAACCACCACAGGGCAGATGCTCAACGCAGGAGCTGCGTTGTCTGTGCCCTCCCATAGGGGAAGTGCTGCTCAGCCAGAAGCCGGACTCACGGCTGGCGAGCACAGCGGTGGAGGCTGGAGGCTCTCCTGCCTCCATGGCAGCGCTAAGGATGTCTGACTGCTGAGGGCTCCTGAACTGCGAAAGGGTGCAGGCTGGGCTGAGGGACCCCCCCAAGTGCACAATTTTCATGTCCTGGGCCTCTAGTTTCATATATTAATCTACAGCTATACATTTTCCTTTTAGCACTGTTTTTGCTGCATCCTATATCTTTGATATGTTATATTTCCATTTTCATGTTTCTTAAGATATTGTTATGGGTTGAACTGTGTTCCCCCAAAAAGATGTGTTCAAGTCCTAACCCCCAGAACCTCAGAGTATGACCTTATTGGGAAATAGGGTCTTTGCAGAGTAATAAAATTAAAACAAGGGCATTAGGTTGACCTTAATCCAATATAACTGTATTTTTTAAAAGGAGGAAATTTTGGACACAGAGGCAGACATCCACAGAAGGAAGTATACATGAAGAGACACTCAGAATATCGCTTGTTCACTGTTGTCTGTAGTATGTTTTAAAATCAGGAAGTGTGAGGCCTTAATTTGTTCTTCTTTCTCAGGATTGTTTTGGCTCTTTGGGATCATTTGTGTTTCCAAGTGAATTTTAGGATTTCTTTTTTCTTCTATTTCTGCAACACATGCCATTGAGGTTTTGATATGAATTGAATTGAATTGAATCTGTAAATGGCTTTGGGTAATATGAACATTCTAACAATATTGTCTTCCAATTCACAAGCACAGATGTCGTTCCATTTATTTGTATCTTCATTGATTGCTTTTAGCAATGTTTTATAGTTTTCAGTGTACAAGTCTTTTACTTCCTCAGTTAAGCTTATTGCTAAGTATTTTATCCTTTTTGATGCTTTAGTGAGATTTTTTAAAAGTATGTTTTTATTGATTTTAGAGAGGAAGGGAGAAGGAGAAAAAGATAGTAACATCGAGAATCATTAGTTGGCTGCCTCCTACACACCTCCTATTAGGGATTGAGCCCGCAACCTGGGCATGTGCCCTGACTGGGAATCAAACCCTGACCTCTTGCCTCATGGGTCGACACTAAACTACTGAATCACATCAGCTGGACAAGAGACTGTTTTCGTAATTTCCTTTTAAGATTGTTCATTATTAGTGTATTGAAACATAACTAATGTGTGTGTGGTAACTTCATATCTTTCACTGAAATTGTTCATTAGTTATAGTAGTTTTATTGTGGAATCTTTAGGATTTTCTGCATATAAGATAATGTCAACTGAAAACAGGGATAATTTTGCTTGTTTCCAATTTGGATGTCTTTTATTAGTTTTTCTTGGCTGACTGGTCTGGCTCAAATTTCCAGTACAATGTTGAATAATAATGGCAAGAGTTGGTATCCTTGCCTTGTTTTTCATTTTAGAGCAAAAGTTTTGTGTTTCATTAATGACTATTTTTATTGATTTCAGGGAGGGAGAGGGAGAGAGAGAGAGAAATATCAATGATGAGAAAGAATCATTGATTGGATGCCTCCTGCACATTCCCAACTGCGGATCAAGCCAGCAACCCAGGCATGTGCCCTGACTGGGAATTAAATCATGAACTCTTGGTTCATAGGTTGACATTCAACCACTGAACCATGCTAGCAGGGCTTTTAGTACTCCTTTTGCTGCACTCATCCCATAGTTTTGATATGTTGAGTTTATTTTCATTTTTATCCAGATACTTTCTAAATTCTCTTGTGATTTCTTCTTTAACCTATTGGTTGTTTAAAAGTGTGTTGTTTAATGTCGATATATTTATGGATTTTCCTTCTGCTTTTGATTTATAGCTTTATTTCCTTGTGGTCAGAGAAGATACTTTGAATTACTTCAATCTTCTCAAATTTGTTAAGATTTGTTTTGTGGCCTAACGTATCTTAGAGAATGTTCCATGTGTGCCTGAGAAGAATGTGTATCCTGCTATTGTTAGGTATAATGTTATGTCTGTTAGGTCTAGGTGGCCTATAGTGTTGTTTAAGTCTTCTGTTTCTTTATTGATCTGTCTTGTTCTACTCACAATTGAAAGTTAGATATTAAAATCTTCTTTTCTTGTATTGCAATCCATTTCTCTCTTCAGTTCTGTCAATGTTCACTTTATATACAGAGATAGGCAAAAGTAGGTTTATAGTTGTTCATATGGAAAAAGAAATGCAGGTGATGATGAATCATAATAGTTTTATTAACCCCGTGTTTCACATATTCATAACTGTAAACCTACTTTTTGCCCCTCCCCCATATGAGAATTTTAATGTAAATGCATGTACATTCAAAATCTATAATATATTGCTGATGAATTGACCCTTTTATCATTACATAATGCTTTCCTTTATCCTTTGTGACAGTTTCTGACACAGACATGGCCACTCCTGCTCTCTTTAGGTTTTCGTTTGCATGAAATGTCTTTTTCCATCCTTTCACTTTTAGCCTATGTTTCCTTAGATCTAAAGTGAGTCTCTTGTAGTTAGATCTTGTTCTCTCATCCATTTAGCCAATTGATGTATTTTAAATGGGGCACTTAATACATTTACATTTAAAGTAATTACTGATAGGGAAGGACTTACTATTGCCATTTTGTTAATGTATTTCTTGTGTAGCTTTTTTCCCCATCCTTTCCTTTGTTGCCATAATTTTTTGTGTTTTATTGATTTTTTTGTAGTGATAGGTTTTGATTCCTTTCTCATTTTCCACTGTATATATTCTATATATTTTTTTCCTTGTGGTTATCATTACAATGACATAAACTATCTTAGAATTATGACTACCTATTTTAACCCAACTTAAATTCAATTACATATAAAAACTCTACTTGTTTACATCTCTGATCTACCCTTTATGTTATTGATGACAGAAATTACTTCTTTTTCATGTTGCATATTCACTACTTTTATGTTTTGTTTAAAAGTCATTTATGCTCCTACATTACAATACTAGAGATTCTATATTTGACTTTTTTTTACATACTTTATTGATTTTTTACATAGAGGAAGGGAGAGGGATAGAGAGTTAGAAACATTGATGAGAGAGAAACATCGATTAGCTGCCTCCTGCACACCTCCCACTGGGGATGTGCCCGCAACCAAGGTACACAACCAAGGTACATGCCCTTGACCGGAATCGAACCTGGGACCTTTCAGTCCGCAGGCCGACGCTCTATCCACTGAGCCAAACTGGCCAGGGCTCTATATTTGTCTTTATACTTATCTTTACCAGGGAGGTTTATATTTTCACATGGTTTTGAGGTGCTGCTTATTATCCTATTGTTTCAACTTAAAGGTTCCCATCAGCATTTCTTATAGTGTAGGTCTAGTAGTGATGAACTACTTCAGCTGTTATTTCTCTGGGAAAATCTTAATTTCTTCTTCATGACTGAAGGACAGTTTTGCAGAATATAATATTTTTTATTAACAGGGTATTTTTATTTCAGCATTTTTAATATATCATTCCAGTCCCTTGTAGCCTATAAGGTTTCAGCTGAGAAATCTGATTATCTCATAGAAGCTCCTTTGTACGTGCCTTTTTCCTGCTGCTTCCAAGATTCTCTTATTTGTCTGTGACTTTTGATGGTTTGGTTATTATGTGTCTCATTGTAGGTCTGTCTCTACATTTATTCTAGGAAGAGTGTCTGAGTCTCCTGAATTTATCCATTTCTCTCCTGAAATCTGGTGACTTTGAGGTAGGTCATTAATTCTTCAAGTAGGTTCTTTGTCTCTCTTTATCTTTCTCTTCTAGGATTCCCATAATGCATACATTGTTCCACACGGTGGTGTCCCATACGTCTTTTAACCTCTCTTAATTTTTCTTCTTCTTTTTTAAAAAATATATTTTATTGATTTTTTACAGAGAGGAAGGGAGAGGGATAGAGAGTTAGAAATATCAATGAGAGAGAAACATAGATCAGCTGCCTCCTGCACACTCCCCACTGGGGATGTGCCTGCAACCAAGGTACTTGCCCTTGACCGGAATCGAACCTGGGACCCTTGAATCCGCAGGCTGACACTCTATCCACTGAGCCAAACTGATTAGGACTTTTTTTCTTTTCTTTTCTTTTTGCTTCTCTGCCTTGGTAGTTTTGAAAGTTCTGTCTTAGAGTTTGATTATTCTTTGTTCTGTCTGGTCATGTCTGATGTTGAATTCCACTAGCAAATTTTGTTAATTCCATTATTGTGCTCTTTTTAGTTTCAGAATTCCTGTTTGGGCATTCTCTATAGCAGCGGTTCTCAACCTGTGGGTCGTGACCCCTTTGGCGGTCGAACGACCCTTTCACAGGGGTCGTCTAAGACCATCCTGCATATCAGAGATTTACATTACGATTCATAACAGTAGCAACATTACAGTTATGAAATAGCAACAAAAATAATTTTATGGTTGGGTCACAACATGAGGAACTGTATTTAAAGGGCTAGAAGGTTGAGAACCACTGGCTAGACTATGGTCTGTTTTGGTAAATATTCCATGCAGACTTAAATGTGTATTATGCTGTTAAAAGATGGTGTTCCATAAATATAAATTAGGTAAATAGGTCGATAGTGTTGTTCAAATCTTATATACCTTTATTGATTATCTGTCTACTGATTAACTTTATCTGTAGATTCAATGCAATTCCCATCAAAACTACCAATCAAGGAAGTTTTTTTGTGGCTACTGATAAAATGATCCCAAAGTTTTTATGGAGAGGCAAAATACCCAGAATAGCCAATACAATATTGGAGGAGAAAAACAAAGTCAGAAGATTAATACTATCTACCTTTAAGACTACTATAAAGCTATAGTAATCGAGACAGTGTGGTATTTGTAATAAAAAAGATAAATAGGTCAACTGAACCGAACAAAAAGCCCAGAAATAAGACCAAAGAAAAAAAAAATAGAGACAAGTGATTTTTGACAAAAAAAAAAAAACAACAAAAGTAATTCAATGGAGAAAGGATAGTCTTTTCAACGGAGGGTGGTGGAACAACTGGACATCCACATACAAAAAATAAATCTAGGTACAGAATGTATACCTTTCATAAAAATTAACTCAGAATGGATCATAGATCTACTAGTAAATGTACAATCCAAAATTATTAATCTCCTAGAATATAAACAGATGAAAGTCTAGGTGACCTTGGGTTTGGTGATCACTTTTTACTTTATTATTATCATTATTATTTTATTGATGAAAGTATTACATATGTCTCCTTTTTCCCTAATTGCCCCCCCTCCCCAGCCACTCCCATCCCCCAGGACAAGCCTCCTACTTTAATATTTTTTTAAAAAAATATTTTTATTTATTGTTAGAGAGAGAGGAAGGGAAAGAGAAAGAGAAAGAGAGATGTGAGAGCAAAACATGGATTGGCCCCTTAATGAAAGTATTGTCTCCTTTTTCCCTAATTGACCCCCCTCCCCAGCCACTCCCATCCCCCAGGACAA